TTGTTAAGGCTAGAATTGCAACTTGATACCTATATTGATGTCATGAGACAAGATGATAGATTCAATGGCCTACAGAACCTTGTTGACCTCTCACTTAAGCTAGTGGAAACAAATAGGCACAAAGTTTATGACTTGGTTTACTTGCTTCTCAAAATGGTATTGCTTCTACCGGTGGCGACCGCAAGTGTAGAGAGGGCATTTTCTAGTATGGATTTTGTCAAAACCAAGCGGAGAAATAAGATGAGTGATAGTCTTTTGGATGACTGCCTTGTCACGTTCATTGAGAGAGACATTTTGGAAGATGTGGAGGAAGATGATGTAATCAACACTTTCATGGCTATTAGAAAGCGTAGGCCCAAAAAATAGTGTTGTAATCTTATTTGTTATTTAAGCTTGTGTTGTTTACATTCCAAACTATTAGTACGCTATTTTAGACTATTTGTACTGTAATTTAAGACTTATTATGCCATTTAGTAGTTGTGTACTGAATTGTTGGGCAATTTTTATGAAACTTTACCGAATTGCTAAATGGTTTTTCCCGGTTTGCATATAAAATTTTTGGTTCGGCATATCCCATGTAAAAATCCTGGCTCCGCCGTTGCCTATGATGTTGGCCAGCGGTTCTAAGGCTGTGTTTGGCATGGCTCCCGGTGGCTCTAGCTCCTCCATGATTTGGAGCTTCTCCAGCTCCATGCTACAGTACCATTGTGGTAGCCGAGCTGGAGCCGACCAGAGCCGTGCCAAACATGCTCTAAATTCATCCAAGTCCATAGCTTAATTATCTTTTACTGCGAAGGCCTAATAAAAAAATCATCTAGTTTAATTTAGGGCCCGTTTGGCACAGCTTCCATCGGCTCCGGCTCCGTCTGACAAAATCTGCGCTGATCACTGTAGCGATGAGCCTGTTTTCTCTCTCCACCTTTTCTGTCTCACTGTAGCGCGGGTGCTGTAGCATGTGGGAGATGAAGCTAGAGAAGCCAGGAAAACGAGCTTCTCCGGCTTTGATGAACAGTGCGAGTGTCAGTGAGAGGGGGGGGGAGGAGGAGAGAGGAAAGCCGCTTCTATAAACAGTATGCTACAGTGTCGGTGTCAGGGAAGCCCGAGCCGGCGGAAGCCGTGCCAAACGGGCCTTTAGTTGGAGCATCTCTAACAGTCCCCAATCCAACTCCCTTAATAAGTTGATAATGAAGATAACACAATACCACTTTTTAGATTATTGGGGGAGATGTTGCAGCAGATCACCAATAATCTCCCCTAAAATTTAGGACCCTGTCAGATCACAATTTATTTAGGCCCTGTTTAGATCCCACCCAAAATCCAAAATTTTTCAAGATTCCCCGTCACATCAAATCTTGCGGCACATGCATGGAGCATTAAATGTAGATAAAAAGAATAACTAATTGCACAGTTTGCCCGTAATTGACGAGACGAATCTTTTAAGCCTAAATAGTCCATAATTGGACAATTTTTGCCAAATACAAACGAAAGTCATACAGTAGCAAAAAGCCAAAAATTTTCGTATCTAAACGGAGCCTTATTTCTTTTTTTTCCTTTCCTTTTTCTCCCCATCACAACATCAGATAGCACTCGACCGTTGCAGTACCGACCTCGACCTCCGCCGCGTGCTAGTCCCAACTCCGACCTCCACCGCGCGCCAGCCCCGACGCCGCCACCCACCGCGCGAGACACACGGCTCTGACACCTCCTCGATGGCCCAACGCCCCCAAGCCACCAATGTCGGCCCTCGTGCCTCGTCGTTGAGCCAAAGCGCTGATTGCCCGCGCGGATCGGCCCTCGCGCCTCATCCTCGAACTAGAGCGCCGCCCGCCAGCACCCGTGCAGAATGGCCCTCGCGCATCGTCGTTGAGCCGGGCACCGGCCCTTGCCTGTGCTTCGGGTCCTTGTTGAGCGGGAACATCGGCGAGGGTGCATGCCAAATTGCAGCCATGGCGCACGATGAGCTCCGGTGTGGGTAGTGAGCAGAGAGGAAGAAGAAGTGATAGTTATTTGAGGACCCATGCTATTTGGGGAGATGGACCCCCCTCTTAATTTATTTGAGGGGAGATTGAGATTTTTTTTTGTTGATCACCAATAAAAGGAAGAGCTATTGGGGACTGCTGGAACATGAAAAAAAACCCATCTCCCCTAATATGATAGGTTTGCGGGGATGAGGGATGAAATTGAAAAACTGTCGGAGATGCTCTCACCTAACCACATTGGCATCGACTCGTAGGGACCCACAAGCCGCCTAAGAGCTACGGCCTAGATGCAGGCGGGCTAATCTGGGGATCCATATATTAGTCTTAATTTTATGAGTTATATAAGAAATCTTAAACTATTTTGGGAACTTGTATATTTTATTCATCTCTTGTATATTCACATTGAGAACCCTTTCTTTTTCTCCTTATTCTTCATGACATCCTGCTTCCACCTTCATATTGGCCGATTGGATAAGCGCACGTGTATTTCCATGTGATTGGATCGATTTTTCCAAGTGCGGAAAAATTGAGAGTTTTGAGATCCTAAGGAGTTGTTTGAGAGAGGTTTTTTCAGTCTTGCAAAAAAAAATCAAGACCGAGAGTGAGTTTTGGAAACTCATGGAGATGATCTTAGTAAATAATCATAGTGCCATTAGCATTACCATTTTATTTATAAACAATCATCAACAAATAAATGGTCAGTTAATAAAAAAATGAAAGTATCTAAAAGTATCAATAGTACTTTTCCAACCATATAAAAGCGGTCATTTTCCTAACATAAATTATGGTATTCTCTATTCACATACACATTGAATTTTGAACTTAAAACTTAACTTGTACACGTAGAGATAAAAAAAGATATATATTATTACATGGCCGGTAGACAAGATCAACTGAAATATCCGAAAGGGTAAACTAAACACAAATTAGCTTAAGGGTTACCTTAACAACTTTTCAAAGCGGATAATATGTGGACCCTGCTGTGAGGTGGCTGATCTTTTTTTGATGTCGCCAAACCAAATAGAAATTTGGTTGGTTTTGTTGCTCATCAACCAAACATCAAATGGGGTTATCTCATCCCTAAGAGAGTGTTTGGTTCCCGGACTCCGTTTGCCATGCCACCAATGCGGCTCGCCACAGAAAATTAGGCTGTTGCTTGATTTCCACGTAAAGTGCGGTAAGCCACAAGAATCTCAGTTCATTCGCACGTGATTTCTCGCCATAGCTATGGCGTCCATTTTCTCCCCCTCAATCGTGGCGGCGCCACAATAGGGAGTGGCATCCTACGGTATAAAACCAAACAGGCCCTAAATATCTAAGACAGGTTTATCCCATCTCACCACACGTCTCTCGTGGTCGACTCAAGGATTGTTGCTAACCTTTTGTGTATTTTTCTCGGCCGAAGATTTTCTCGTCAAGGAGGTCACATGTATTAGAGATTATTATTTCACGTGTATATAAACCAAAACAATGCATCGCGCTGAACGAATAGCAACGTGTATACATACATTCATACTGTTCCTAGCTTCATACGACGATCGAGTGAATCTTCTAGGGATACTCGGAGATATGGTAGTGAGGGTCGTCGCACGAAGTGGTCTATATGGCTCCTCCAGTCCTCCCTGACCTGAGTGAGTTGAAGTCGGGCAAGACGCTTGGAGGGCTGGTCTGGTCTCCAACGTCTCGTCTCGTCGTTAGCTCTGCGCGTCTTCCTTAACGAGCCGCAGTCGGACTACACGCAAGGATTTGTACTGTAGCAAAGACGAGTCGCTACCCAACACCTGATTGCATTGCCGACCACGGTATTCCAACCAGTGAATTGAATAGTACTACACGCAAAAGGACTTCTGCACTGTAGCAAAGACTGGTCTCCTTGCGCATGTACACACGTGGCCGTACGGACCACTTGTATTTTCCACGTGTTGACGAGAACTTGACAGTCTTTCCCGTCCCACGTCCTAAATCCAAATTAACGGTCGTTGCAACAATTCGATGGCCTGGTATCACGATCCGAGACAGGTCTATTCTGCTTTCTCACTCTTTTTTCTTTTTTATTAAATTTTTTATACTGTCTCTGTCCCTAAACAAATTAATTCCTAAAACTATCTTAAATAAACTTTTTTATGTTTCATCAAACTTATAGAAAAAACAACCGATATTTATGATATCAAATGAGCACATTATGAAAATGTAATTTATGATGTATCTGATTACACTAATTTGGTGTCTAATTCTATACACTCATTTTTATAAATCTAGTCAAACTTATTTTGTTTATTAAAGACAGCTTTAGGAATCGGTTTATTTAGGTACTGAGGGAGTATTAACCAATCTATTTTTCTTCTATGTACTATGAAAAAATTAGGTTGAGGAGTTTGTTCCGAACAAATTAAAAAAAATCATTCGAGATAAATTTGTATAATTTTTTTTGAAAGACGTCAAAAATTGAAAGACAAAGTCTAGGCTCATGATGTCATAAGACATGTGCTGCAACAAGATCCAGGGCAATTTAAGCTAATGTTTCAATTAATATGTTAAAGACTCATGCAGTGCCTCCTCATTGAGGGGAAAATTATATGGATATGGAAACATATCGGCAAATTCGCAAGTTTTGTCAAGTGTGGATAGAGAATACATATTATCTATGACTATTGTGTTATAATAAAATAAATAAAAGATACCGTAAATATAAATAATTTTGACAACTAAAAGTATTATAAATAAACTCGGATTTCCTAATATTAGTAATAAAATTTTTACTAGTATGCACAACTCGATCGCACCAACGCGCTTTTTTACTCGTCTAAAAACGCGCTTTTTTACACAGCTAGCATGACATGACATTCCGTTTATTAGTCTTTTTTTTTTACGACAACACTTTTGATAAGTCTTCGCAGCTCATTTCCCTATATAAGAAATAGTAACCGCTGTCCGATGGTACGTACAGCAGCGTCCATTGAGGGAGCCTATCTATCAAAGCGAGCAAGCAACACTCCGCATACTCCTCCGGTCCTCCACGCCATGGCCATGCCGGCAGCCCACTTCTCGCATCCCAAGCACGAGCTGAAGTTTCGGGAGTACCACCTGTCACGCCAGTGCGCCCTGTGCGGGGAGAAGCTCACCGGCAGCGGCTACAGCTGCCACCACCGCCTCTGCGAGTTCGACCTGCACGAGGAGTGCGCCAGGTACCCGGAGACCCTACGCTCCTTCTTCGCGCACCCGTGGCACGACCTCACCCTCTCCTCCCGCACCGACGGCCGCCGGAGCACCTGCGAGCTGTGCCGCGAGGAGAAAGTCCCCGCCGGCGTCTTCCTGTACCGCTGCGCGCCGTGCGGGTTCGCCGTGCACCCGCGGTGCTCGCGCCTGCCGCAGACCGCGCGCAGCGAGGAGCTCCACCCGGACCACGGCCTGAGCCTCACCGCCATGCCTAGTGCGGGGACAACGTGCGCGGCGTGCCGCGAGCCCTGCGGCGTTTGGGTCTACCGCTGCGGGCTGTGCGACGTCGACCTCCACATCGACTGCCTGCACGGCGCCAGGTCCTCCAGAGGGAAGAACGGAAAGGAGTGGTCGTCGGCGCTGGGTGAAGTGGGCGTGAAAGTCATGGAAAGCCTTGCGGAAGTTGCGGGTGAAGACGTGGCGAGTATGCTCTTTCAGTGAGAGATTTTCGTCCGTACGTACGCGTGGACACTAAAACGAAGGAACATTATCTACAGATACAGAGTTGTGTACCGATCTGAAAAGTGGCAGTAGTGTGACATCGATCCTGTTAGTGTCTTGTATGCATACGATTTATGAACCGCATAATAAGAGCATGGTGCACATGCAGTTTATATATTCCACTTATGTATTCTAATAACTTCCTAGTTTATATTAAACCCACAAGGAATAAGTGGATATTAGCACTTTAGCAGCTTTGTTTTGTGTTAGTCTACGTACTTGTATGTATGTTATCTTCCTCGCAAAAAAAAGAAGAAGTATGTATGTACTCTACATTAAGAAGAATTAATCTTATACTCTTATAAAACAAAATCCACAAACTATTTATCCCAACATGCAAGTTATCCAACTAGACAATGCATTATCATATACAATTAAAACCCACTAAGCAATACCCCGCTAGCCATTTATCTCAACATACAAGATGTCCACGTCAGCCAGACACATAAGTATTTTGTTGTCCACGTCATCTTACTACGCAATCCACTAATCCAGAATTCCCGTAGCAACGCACGGGGTATGCTTTTATTAATAGATAATAAGAACTCCTTGTTCCACGTCATCATATTACCTACACGAGTTGTACGGATCTTAAAGGTAACAGTGCGACATCGATCCTGTTGGTGCCTCATGTACATGTAATGAAACCCTGCAATGATTCTATCTTATATCTTTACTATTACACTAGATTAAGGCTCCAAACAAACAAAAAGATAAACCTAAAAAATTAGATCTTATCTCATTATTACTGATTTGCGGCTTCATAATTTTCGCGAGACACACTAGGGAACAAGATAATTCACATAAATTCTCATATATCAAAAACATCTAGCCTTTAATTTAGTAGACAATCATCCTACTATTACTAATTAGAGGCTTCACGTGATTTTCAAAATAGAGGCAACAAGTGTTCAAATCCAAAAATCACTACTACAGTAAGTTTAACCGAGACGGGTATTTTGGATTAACCGAGGTAGGCAACGCAGCCGCCTTGAACAAAAGGTCATGATTAATACATGATCTACCGAGACGGTTGTTTGCCCACCTCGGTTAATTAAATAAAAAACAAAAAAGAGAAAAATCCATGGACAGGCCCGCCGAGCACATCCAGCATTGCCGCAGCTAGATCAGCGCGCCGTCGCAACCGTCGTCAGATCCGGGCGCCCGCTGATGGATCTGGGCGCCCCCTGGCTGGATCCGATCACTTGCTCGTCGGGGCTAGCTGAATCCGGTCACCTGCTCGCCGGGGCCGTTGGTGGAGCCGCCGGGACCGCTGCACCTAGACGCGTTGCCGCTGATGGATCTCTTGCACGGGCTATCGGATCGACCACCAGGGAAGGATTTGGTCCTCACGCCGTCGCCCCTGCATGCCGATCCACCGCCCCACGCATGCCACCAGCGGATCCACGGAGGGGAGGGAGAAGAGGGAGCCTTTGGATTTGCACTGCCGCTGCTCCGCTCGCTGGAGGGAGAGGGAGGCGCGCTAGTGGTCCTCCTCGTCTCCACGTCGGAGTGGGAGCCGTCCACGCCGCCATCGGAGTATGGAGGGAGAGGGGCTCGGGAGGGAGAGTGTGAGGGAGAGAGTGGAATGGCGCCATCGGGCTCTCCCTCCCGAGGGGCACGGGGTCGGGCTCTCCCTCTGCGAGGGGCACGCCGCTCGGCCTCGACTGCAGGATGGGGAGACAGAAGTGAGGAGTGAAAAACCCTAACCCCTGCGTTTATATATTGGTGATGGTAGTGGGCTGGTGTGGACTAATAGGCTGGGCCTAATTTACTGAGGCGGTTGAGTTAGAATATCCGCCTCAGTTAATGATTTACCGAAGTGGTTGCGTTACGATGCCTGCCTCGTTAATATATATTAACCGAGGCGGGCCTTTTAGGTTGCCCGCTTCAGTTATTAACTGAGGCGGTTGCTCGGCTGGCTATTCGGCCACCTAATAACGGAGGCGAGCAACCGACCCTCCCGCCTCCGAGGCCATTTGGCAAATGCCTTGAAAAAGATTTATTGTAGTAGTGAATTTTCAGGTGCACATTGTCATATTTTTCAAGAAAAAAGGTCTATTTTACCCCCTCATCTATGTAGTTTGATTTTCCTCGTCAAACTCCAAAACTAGAAGTCTTACCCTTTGAACTCTCAAACCGTTCAAATTACCTCCCTATCCTGTTTTGAAAGCAATTTTATTTTTTCTGGTTAAAAAATCTAGTAAATACTTGGTAAGACTATTGAACCACAGAAAATGTCTTTAAATTTCAAAAAACCAAAAAAATATACCTAGAGATGTATTGGGACAGAACAAATTTAAATAAAATATTTAAAGCTCGTGAAAATATCTTTAGAAGCTTCCAAAGTTAGATTTAGCTCTAGGAAAAACGAAAAAAAATATCCCAAAAAATATGTAAAATTCACAAAACATTCTATTTGATGTATAAATGTGTTTTGAAAACTTCACACAACAAAAAAACATTAGACATAACAAGCTTGAATGCATTTGACATTAACATATATTGCATTCATGCTGGTTGCATCTCATATTTTTGCAGCCTAAAGTTTTTAAAACACGTTTAGACTTTAATTAAAATGTTTTGGTATTTTTCTACATTTTTTGTGTATTTTTCTCATTTTTGGTAGAGCTAAAATATATTTTAGCTTTTACAAGCTCTAAATATTTTACTTGGATTCTTCATATCTTAATCCGTCTCTATGATTTTTATCAAATTTTCTAGAAGGTTAGAGACATTTTCTGTGGCAAAAACTTTGTCTAGTATAAGTATTTATCGATTTTCAACTTAAAAAGATAAAACCACCTTTAAAACAATTTCAATACAAGATAACAGGGTAATTCGAACGATTTTGAAAGTTCTAGATATAAGTTGTCTGATTTAGAATTCAAGGAGAAAAAAATAGATTTTCAATCAAAGAGGTAAAATAGCATGTGTCGGGTATCAGTATTAGGGATACCCGAAGAAGGGATCTGAGAACCGCGGACGACGGCTCAAGGACGTATTTCAGTCTCGACCAACCCCAAGGGCGCGGTCTCCGTCTCGCCCGACCCTGAGAGCACGGGCCCGTGTCGCTCGACCCTAGGGGCACGGGCTCTGTCTCTCCCGACCCCTTGGGCACGGGCCCCGCGTCGCCCAACCCCAAGGGTGTGGGAGCCATCTCGCCCGACTCTGAGGGCACGGGCTCCATCTCTTCCGATCCTTGGGGCGTGGGCTCCGTCTCGCCCAACAAGGGCCCATACCACCTCCAACCACTACGGGTCAGATGGTACGACCCTAGGGTCAAACATCTGACACCGGGCAGGAAGCAGGCACGTCTCGACGTTACCCATGGCCACGTCAGGCCACACCTAGGGGTTCACATCGTCAACAATGATGGATGCGTGGTCACTGTGCTGCCTACTCCCCGTACGGCCGCTGACCGACACATCGGTTCATCGCGTCGTCTACCAGGACATGATGGGACGCCACGGCCAGCTGATGACGCCGAGGCATGGCACTAGTGGTGAACAGGAGCACGGCGTGAAGCCATCCCTATAACCATCTACATCGTCAATGGGACCCGCATAAAGGAGAAGGACCTAGCAGCCCTAGAGGCCTTTTTCTCCCTGGCTTTTCTACTTCTTTCTCTCTATAACTGGCGCCTTCCCCTTCACCTATAAAAGGGGAAGCAGAACGCCCCAAAACATACGGCAAACGGACTGACCGCGAACACATAGCAGAACAAACACATAGCTAAACGAGCTCAGCAAGACTCTTCTCCATTCAATCTTGAAAGGACCTAGGATGCCGCCTAGAGGAGGGTGAATAGGCGTTTTTGAAAATTAATACCTTTAAATGCGGAAATGATTAGTAAAGGAAGTTTCCAAAATGGAAACTCCAAATAAAGAGTAATACCACCCCTCACAATTTAGACACAGAGTATACAGGGTATAAATAATATATATAGAAGCTACAACCCTGCAACACAAAGTTAGAACAGAGAATAGATATTTTCAGCACAGGTAGGAAATACCGGACGTGTCCGGTATATATGATTTCTGCAGAGCAACCCCCAAACTTGCTCCTTTCGATTTCTATCTTCAAACCAATCTGTAGGTATCTACTAGAGATGACAGTATACACAAAGAACCTGCACAAGAGCTAGAGCAACACAAATATCGAAGGAAATGCGAATTGAGACACGATATTTGTTTTATCAAAGTTTGGACTCGTTCGAGTACTACCCTCCGTTGAGGGGGCTGTGGGTGACCAGCGAAGGTCAGCCCTAGAGGGTACTACGAAGGTCACTCTAGCTAGAGTCTTTTCCAACTCCTTTTCCTCCTTCCACTAGTTGATTCCGAGACGGCAGAATTCGACCGTTACAAACTTTCCGAGGCACACCACAATCTCTCGGGTGCTCTCCGGCGATGCCTAATCATTTAGGACCGAAGAGTCCAAGAGTAACAAATGCAAATCATAAAATAGACAATATGCACAAGTGCTCAAGTGGTGGCTTTCTCTCTTTTTCAAATTCTCTCTTAACCCACAAATGGATTTTGCGATTTGGATCACACACTCACTAAGAGAGGGTTTGGGAGAGTTGGCAAGGCTCAAAAACGTGTATTGCAACCAGCAGAATCAGCAGCCCCCAAAGGTGGAGGCTTGGGGGTATTTATAGCCCCCTACAAAAACTAGCCGTTTTATAGCCGTTGCCATACCGGACACGTCCAGTATGACTTACATCGCGCCAACGGTAACTGAGTTACAATGTCATTGTGAGGCATCAGAACTCCCGATGAATGTCAGAAGTCCCGACCATCGGAACTCCTGACCCTCAGCACATTTGAAAACTAGCTGTTGGCCTTTGGCCATCCATATCGGACACGTCCGGTATGAATACCGGACTTGTCTGGTATGACCACCACAGTGAACTCTCCAAGTCAGTTAAGCGCGAGACA